CTCTGAAATAAATTCTTCTGGGGGGAGGGGCAGGGGTCCACGTAGTTGGGATTGGGGCCGGCCCCTCAGACCTCTCCACTGGTTCCCTACTCCATGCTGGTATATTGCATTCACATCTTGGGGCACCGGGTTGAAGTCTGGTCCCTCTTTCCCTGTGGAGATACAAACAATACCCTCCCCTTGGGTGGGTTAGTGCCCTGTTCCCCATTTTTTTTCCTTTTCCCCCCTCCATTTTAGTTGGCTACCATATGTATCCCTGGATTTGGTCTGGCCCTTGTCATACTACCTGGTCCTCACCCCAGGAATGTTTGTAGACAGTAGCTTTTTCCCCTAGGGGCATAGGTTTTTGTTTTGTCTCTTGTAGTCAGCCATCTTATTCAGCTCTTATTAATCCTAATATCTTTCCATAGAATCTCATGGATTTTCTAGATGTGTATTCAGATAAATATAAGGTATAAGTGTTTCCCCTTTTTTCCCCTTGTCTTACCTGTGGATGATAGTCAACGGTTACAGCCTTCAGAATAGATTAAAAATCAATGTAAAGAAAACAAACCCCCCTCATAACTGGATGAATAGACACCTCGTGATCAATGGAGAAAAGATCGAAGCTGCTGAGGTGTTCGTTTAACTTGGAATCATAATCAACACTCAGAAGTAGCAGTCAAACAATCAAATGACTTATTGCATTGATAAACCTGTTGCATAAAACATCTTTTTTGCTTGTTGGTTGGTTTTATTAAAAGATCGTTTTATTGGGGGCTCTTACAGCTCGCGTAACAATCCATACATCAATTGTATCAAGCATATTTGCACATATGTTGCCATCATTCTTTTTTAAACATTTACTTTCTATTGAACCTTTGGTATCAGCTCCTCTTTTTTCCCTCCCTACCCTCCCCCCTCATGACCTCTTGATAAATTATAAATTATTATTCTTTTCATATCCTACACGGACCACTATCTCCCTTCCCCCATGGTTTCTGTTGTTTATCCCCCTGGAGAGGGGTGTTGGTGGTGGTTATATGTCAATCATTGTGATCGATTCCCCCTTCCTCCCCCCCTCTCCCCACCTTCTCCCTACCCTCCTGGTATCCCTCCTCCCATTCCTGTTCCTGGATTCCATGTGTTGTGAGCTCTTATCTCTTATTTATACCTGTGTTCATGCTCCAGTCTGTCTCAAAGTGAAAGGCAGGACTGGGGTCAGGATTGTGGGGGGTGAGGAAGTCTCAAGGAACCAGAGGAATATTGTGTGTTTCATCGGTGCCATACTGCACCCTGGTTGACTCATATTTTCCTTGTGACCCTTCTGTGAGGAGATACCCCATTGTCTACAGATGGGTTTTGGGTGCATAAGACCTCTTAGAAGTGTTCAAAGAGCAAGATGTCACTTTGAGGGCTAAGGTGCACCTGACCTCAGCCATGGTATTTTCCATCTCCTCCTAGGTACGTGGAAGCCAGACCATGGCTCGGGGAGACCACAGAAGAACAGATGCTCTTGAATCAAGGTGTTAGTGAGGGATATTGGAAATGGGATGGACCACTAGAAGAACAAGCAAGACGGTCTTGGAAGAAGTGACCTCAGAGTGTGCCTTAGCAGTGAGGATGGGGAGACCTTGTCTCACATATTTTGGATTTGTTGTCATGAGAGACTAGTCCCCGGAGAAGGACATCATGCTCAGTAAAGGGACCTCGAAATGAGGAGACCTTCAGTGAGATGGGTTGACACCTTGGCTGCCACAATGGGCTCAAACGTAACAATCATAAAGATGGCGTCCGGTTAGGCAGTGCTTCATTCTGTCGTGCAAAAGGTGGTTGTGAGTCAGAGCTGACAGTTAACGACGACAACATTGCATTTTAGCTCGAACTTCCAGGACAATTTTACATACAATTTATATACTGGGCAGACTAGAGAAACAAATTCGTGGACACTCCTAAGTGTATAAGAAAGAGGTTTATGTAAAGAATAAGTGTACATTAAGAAAATATCTCAGCCCAGTCCAGATCAAGTCCGTAAGTCTGATATTAGCCCATATGTCCCATACCAATCTGTAAAGTCCTCTTCAGACTCACGAAACACATACAATGACGCCGAATGTAGAAGATCACAGGCCAATGGGTGGGAAGTCTTGTGGATCCAGTGGCAGTGTAAGCTTCTCAGCGCTGGCTGGGGTCTCCACGTGGCTCCTCCAGCTCAGGGCACTAGCCTAGCTCCATGTGTCTGGTCAGCTGCAATGTCTCCCAGGGAGTGAGCAGAGAGAGAGTGTGTCTCCTGCCTCCATGGAGGAATACAGGAGTTTCCAGAATCCTCAGGAGAAGGCCATGCCCACGCAGAGGCCTCATTGACTATGACCTGATTGACAGGCTCTACTCCACCCCTTCACTCTTAATCCTCTCCAATTGACACCAGATTATGTAACTACCAGATTATGTGACTACCACATATACCTAAGGTGCTATCAAACACTCACCCTACTCAGAATGATTTCTGGGGTCACTTCCATTCCACAAATTAGTCTGAGCCCATTCCCTTTGTTTGAATGATATTTAAATATCTGGATCCTTATTTAAATAGCAGAATCCTTGGTCCAGTAGTGATTACGAGTTGGACTACTAACTTCAAGGTCAGCAGTTTGAAACCACCAGCTGTTCCTGGGGACACAGAGGGGACATTCTACTTCAGTAGAGTGACAGTCTCAGAAACTCACAGGGACGCTTCCACCCTGTCCTACAGGGTCACCGGGAGTTGGCATGAACTTGGTGGCAGCGAGTTTGGATATGGGGTTTTATGGACAGCTCACGAGCATGGTCATGACCTTGTATCATTACAAGCCCGGTTTTATGGATGAGGAAGCGGAGGCCCAAGGAGGCCAGGGTCCCCCCAGCACTAGCGAGATGGGACGGCCAGGTCAGCCCGTCCGAAGTCGGGCGCTCCCGGCCACGTCCAGCAGGTGGGGTGAGCGCGAAGGGACCGAGTGGTTGGGGAGGTGGCCGGGTGCAGGCTGTCGTCGGTCCCTCCCTCCTGCCCTCCCAGCCCAGCCGCGGGTCCCGCCCGCCGGGAGGCGGGTTGGGGCGCCCCTCGCGCGGACCAGTCACTCGCCGCGGCCCGAGCCGGACAGGCGGCGGCGGACAGGCAGAGCCGGGCCATGACTGCGGCCGCGCTCCTGCTCAGCCTGGCGCTGCTGGCCCCGCGCGCCGCGGGCGCGGCCATGGACGCGTGCTACGACGGCGCGGGCCGGCCGCAGCGCTGCCTGCCCGTGTTCGAGAACGTGGCGTTTGGCAGGAGCGCCCGGGCCTCGCACACGTGCGGCCACCCGCCCGAGGACTTCTGTCCTCACGTGGGTGCGTCGGGCACGGCGGCCCACTGCCAGCGCTGCGACGCCGGCGACCCTGCCCGTCACCACAATGCCTCCTACCTCACCGACTTTCACAGCCAGGAGGAGACCACCTGGTGGCAGAGCCCGTCCATGGCCTTTGGCGTGCAGCACCCCACCTCGGTCAACATCACCCTCCAGCTGGGTAAGCAGCGGCCGGACAGCCGCGTCCTCAAACCACTGGGCCCGGGGCAGGCTGCCCCGCAGGGGTTTGGATGGGAGGGTACGGGGTACCAGGGGAATGGGCATGTGCCCCAGGATGGACTGAAGGGCCCCTGAGGCCCGTGGCTCTTTGCTGGGTCTGCGCACAAGGACAGTACTTTTCCAGAACAGTTCCAGAATTGGATGGGGAAAGGTGACCTCCCCAGGGGGGCACTCGTCCACCCTCTAGGGCAGAGGCTGTATTTGTGGTCAAAGAAAGCCCAGTTTTATCCATGCCTCCCTCCACCCAACTCCATGCCAAGGGGTAAACATACACAAAATAAATCCCAAACCCGTGCTGATGAGTAGATTCGACCCACAGCAACCCTACAGGATGGGGTGGAAGGCCCAATAGGGTTTCCCAGGCTGGAATTCTGCTGGAAGCAGACTACCCACACCTTTCTTCCGTGGCTGCTGAGTTCTTCACCACCGCGCCACCAGGGTTACTTTGGTAAGGTGCCAACACCAAGCCACTGCCAGGGAGTCAATGGGACTCATTAAGAAACCCCAGTGCGAATGAGCCGCCTCTGACTCACCGAGACCCCACGAGCTGTGGATCTTCGTGGAAGCCAACGGCCGTGGTCAATTCCAACTGCCCACCCTTTGGTTAGCAGCTGGGTGCTGTTGGGAAGGCGCCAGGGCCCCCTGCCCTTGAGTTGATTCCGACACTCAGCAGCCCTATATAGGGTTTCCGAGGCTGTGCAGTTTTTATGGGAGCAGAGACTGGTCGGTTTGAACTGTCAACCTGGAGATTAGCAGCCCACCCGTTACCGGACAGCGCCACCAGAGCCAGCAAGGTGATCCTGGTTGATAACAGCCCCTTGTGTGCTCTGCCATCAAATCGCTGCCGACTCCCAGAGGCCCTGTAGGCAGGGCAGAACGGCCCCTGTGAGTTTCCCAGACTAAACTGCTTTCCGGGAGGAGAAAGCCCTGTCTTTCGCCCTCTGATTGACTGATGGTTTCGAACTGCTGATCTTGCAGTTAGCAGCCCAATGCGAAACCACTACGCCACCAGGGCTCCTCCATAGAGTTTTCAAAACTACCATCTTCCCATTGTAGACTGTCAGGCCTCTCCTCCGAGGTGCCTGCAGGGAATTTGAACCACTAACTTTTCAGCTTGTAGCTCAGCGGTTCTCAACCTGTGGTCCCGACCCTTTTTTGGAGGGGTCCAATGACCTTTTCACAGGGGTGGCCGACTCATAACAGTAGCGAAATTACAGTTATAAAGTAGCAACAAAAATAATTTGATGGTTCGGGGAGGGGTGTCACCACAACATGAGAAACCGGGTTAAAGGGTTGTGGCATTTGGAAGGTGGCGAACCACTGTTGTAGCTGAAAACGTACCCCTTAGTTCCCAGGGGTGAGAATTCAGAGGCCTGACCTCAGCTTTCACTCTCCCGGCACCCCTTGTTCCAAGGCACTGGAATACCCGCCCTCCTCCCCATCCCAGTACCACCCGCATCCCCCTTGGGCCCCTGCACCCTCCGAGCAGCTTAACTGCTGCCATTCCTGAGCTCTTCCAGGGAGGAAGTGTTTCCGTAAGTCTACATTCCTTTATCTGGAATGTCCAAGTCCCCCAAAGCTTTGAAAGCCCCAAGTATTTGTTTTCTTTTAATATTTATTATTTTGTATAACTCATTTTGACTGCTAAAGCTGACCAGAGGCTATTTATAGTCCTTTTAGTATGAATATTCATACAAATTGCTACTGAAATCCCATTTGAGTATAGCCTGCAGCCCCACACCCGACTGAGGGTGTTAGCGTGATGCATGGTAAATCCAATGCCTGGTCCCCAAATCGGAGTGCTTAGAAATTCCAAAACACATCAGGCCCCAAGGAGTTTGGAGAAAGCTTTATGGGAGGGCACCCCCATTTTTCGGAGGAGAAAAATGGAGGCTCAGAGAGGACACGCCGTTGCTGCATGAGGGTGGACACAGACCTGTTCACATGCTTCTTGGCATGAACTCTCCCACCCATCGACAAAGTCGGCTCTTGCTGGCGCTAGGTGACAGTGCCCTGGGAGGATGGGGAAATAGACTGGAGTGAGAAGCAGGAGCCATTTCTTTAGAGCAGCCAGGTGCGGCTGGGAGCCAGGTGCGGCTGGGAGCCAGGTGCGGCTGGGAGCCAGGTACGGCCAGGTGCCAAGAAGCTCACTGACTAAGGTCTCTTGGAGAGGCTCCCCAGCAGTAGGTGGGACTCTAGGATGGGGTGGGGTCTCTACCCGGGTTGGGGTGAGAGGAAAGCTGTGGAGGAAAGAGGCTAAGGGGGGTGCTGGCTGGCTGGAGCTGGCAGGACCCCAGGGACACAGGGGCAGGAATCCGGGATAGGGTGGGAACCTGGGAGGGAGACGCAGTGTTCTAGAGGCTGTGTGGGCTTGGCCCATGTGCTGCATGTGTCAGCGGACTGGGTGCAGTGGGGGAGGGGGGTGTCAGCTGAGCACTAACAAAGTTGGGGAGGAAGCGGAGTGGGAGGTGTCCAGTATTTAAAATTTGGGGACAGTGTCCATTTGGTGGCTGGGTGGGTACAGCGCTCTGCTGCCACGTGAACAGTCGGTGGTTCTAACCCACCAGCATCTCTACAGGAGAAAGATATGGCAGGCAGTTCCCTTAGAGGCCAGTCTTGGAAACCCTCTGGGGCAGTTCTGCTCTACCCTGTGCGGTTGCTGTGGGTGGGAACTGACTCCACAGCAGTGGGGACATCTACTGAGTGGAGTGGGTCCAGTGCTTTCATGAGTGACCTTGTTGAATTCTGCCTAGGACCCTTGGAGGCAGCAAAAAACTTGAGGTTTGGAAAGGCCACACACAATAAGGGGGAGCCACGTTTCACACCTGCCTATCTTATCCTGGAGTCCTGGTGGTATAGTGGTACTCGCTGGGTTGTTAACCACAAGGTCATCAGTTTGAAACCACCAGCCACTCCAAGGGAGAACGATGGGCCTTTCGACTCCCTTTTGTAAAGAGTTGCATTCTGGGAAACTCACAGGGGCAGTTCAACGCGTTCCTATAGGGCTCCTATGAACCAGCATCAACTCGATGGCAGTGCGTCTATTTATTTGTTTTGTTTTGTCTTCTCGTGAGCTGGGTCCTTCCCATTAATGTTGTCCAGCTTCAGGCACCTGGGGGGGACTTGGGGAGTGTGTGTACCATGAATGGACAAATGACATTGGGACTGGAGGAACAGAGGTGTCACCTCCTCTGCCCTCTGCTTCCAGACCCAGCTCAGAGTTCTATTTCGATTGCTCTGGGACATGGCCTAAGAGGCCTGTTAGCTCAGTGGTTACGTGTTGGGGTGCGATCCACAAAGTCAGCAGTTCGAAGGCACCAGTCACTCTGCAGGAGGCTCCCTACTTCTGTGAAGAGTTACCGTCTTGGAAACGCACAGAGGCACTTTCACTGTTCTTCCAGGGTCACTGTGAGTCAGAATCTACATGGTGGCAATGAGCTTGGTTTGCCTCTGGACTCAGATCCAGCGCAGCCACCCCCAGACAAGTGGCCTTGCCTCTTGGCACCTCCGTAAACTCAGGATAAGAGTGGGTACCTCCCAGGATGGGTTCTGTGAGCTGGGGCCAGCTAAGCCCTTATCTATCCGGATAGTGTCAGAACAACTGTCATTCTGCTGAGAGCAGCTCCAAGCTGAGGTTCCTTTGACTGGATTGGAAAATGCTGAGCCTAGTCAACGCTGACCTTGGACCCCGTTGACGCACGAGGGGAGCTGGGGTCCCACAGCAGCCCCTGATTCAGCCCATTTGTGGTTCTGTGTGACTGGTCGGCTCCAAGCTAAGCCAGGGCTTGCATACTATTGTGGGAAGAAAAGGTCTGGGGAAGTCAGGGGTGTCCCCCAGTGGAAGCCTTCTCCCCTCAGTCCTTGAGTCACCTCTGCTGGCTCTGTCTTTCACTTCCCCCATTCCTTCAAGGGAGGGGAGAGCGAACAGGCTGCTGGAGGGGGTGGGGGCTGCTCTGGACAGAGCCTGTGAAGGGCAGAGGAGGGAGAGCCCGCCGGTCAGCCTGAGATGGAGGTCACCGTTTTCCCAGCCCCCCGCAAGTTCCCAGACATCTGTTCCAAATCCTCAGCTCCACTCACTAAGCTGAGCCTTTCCGTCTGGGATGAAAGGCAGCCGTGGGGGTCCGACTGCTCCCAACCTCCCCCAAGGGCCAGGGAAGCAAGCTGGGCTGAGGCCAAGTGGCTAGCAGAGAGTGAGGGGGTGGTGGGTGGTCACTGGGGCAACAGACCTTTCAGGGGACCAGTCACCACGTGCCAGGAACTCCACTGACTCAGTACCCCATCCCAGGGTGGCCCATTCTTCTATGGATGAGGAAACTGAGGATTAGAGGCTGCACACAATTGCCTAAAGTCACAAGGCCAATGCCTAAGAGAGACAGGCTTTGCACCTTGCCTGGTCTGGCCTTGAGCCCCCAGCCCTAACCACGCTTTACTTGGGAATGACGCACATTCATTGTGACCCAAGCCTCAGTCCTGGGAAGAGCCAAGTCCAAGCCCAAGCCCAGGCCGTGGCTTTTTGACAAAGGTGGGCGTCTTCCCGCTTCCAGTCTACATGCTTGCTTGGATTCCCAAGAATCTCCAGGAAAGGCCCAGGGTCCTCCCCCGCTTTCCCTCCCACCCCATAGTCCTGAGCCCCTAGTTGAGGGGAAGCTGTGAAGAGGAAGGAAGGAATGAGGAAGGGCCCGGTCCCCGACCTCCCGTGTGGAAGGGTGATTTCTTCGCTGCATCCTTCATTCGTTTCCTCGGTATTTACCAAGCCTGGACTGCGCGGGCCAAGGGGACATGGCTATGAGCAAGACACGCCCCCACCCACACCCTCAGCCCTAGTCCTGCTGGATTCTCATATGGGGGGTGAGTGAGCCTCCTCTGGGGGTCAGGCTTCGCTGAGATCTGAAATATGGCTGGAGTGGGCAGAAGAGGGAAGGACATTCCAAGCTGAGGGGA